ACCCCCTCCCACCCCCAGCTCTCCTTGGCCTGCAGTGTGCAGCCAGGGTGATCTTAGGGCTCATATTATTTGTTTCTGTCCTGTCAGGAATCATAGTCCTGTACTGCCTGCTGTCCAGTGTCTACAAACAGTGGTGCCGTTTATTTTATTTAGTTTTCTGGTTTACAGTAAGAAGGAAAAGCTGGTCTCTATTACTCCATCAGAGACAGCAGTCTGTTGGTTGATTTTGAGTGGAGCAGTGACACTGCCTCTTACTTCATTTCATCCTGAGTGTCAGGTGCTAGTATTATTCCCGTTATTCCCCTAGAGGAGCAAACTGAGGCTCAGAGAGATTGAACACTATGCCCAGTCACTCAGTTATTAATACTAGAGTTTATGCACTTGCCGCTGTACCAGTGCCTCTCAAAAAAAAAAATTTGTTGAATTGAATCTTATTCTTCCCGTCAAAGACCTATAGGCCAGACTGGCTTAGGACGTACCAGAGTCACACAGTCACTGGCAGGTGTCAGTGAGTACACCTAGACTTTAGACCGGGATGTCCTTTCAGTGTCCAAACCTGAGCTGTGTGTGCGGCCGATCTTTGCTGTGCAGCAAGGTCAGCACATGGGCTCACCTGGCCGGGGAAGGTCAGTGCCTGGGCAGCAGGAGTGAGAGCATTTTCATCTCGATTAAATCGAAAGCCTTTCTCTCTGCCACTGTGGACTTTTCTGTTTGTCTGTTTTTTTAAATAAATAAATATATATTGATTTCAGAGAGGAAGGGAGAGGGAGAGAGAGAGAAACATCAGTATGAGAGAGGATCATTGATTGGCTGCCTCCTGCACTCCCTACAATCTGGGCATGTGTGCTGACCAGGAATTGAACTGTGACCTGGTTCATAGGTCGATGCTCAACCACTGAGCCACGCCAGCCAGGCTGTCTGTCTGTTTTTGCTCTTCTTCCTTTCTGCTCTTGCAGCCTGGCCCCGAAGGATCCTGACTGTGGATTGCCTAGAGCAGTGGTCGGCAAACTCATTAGTCAACAGAGCCAAATATCAACAGTACAACGATTGAAATTTCTTTTGAGAGCCAAATTTTTTAAACTTAAACTATATAGGTAGGTACATTGTTATTAACTTAATTAGGGTACTCCTAAGGCTTAGGAAGAGCCACACTCAAGGGGCCAAAGAGCCGCGTGTGGCTCGCGAGCCGCAGTTTGCCGACCACGGGCCTAGAGCCTACTTCTTAAACCTTGGCAATAGACCGCAGCTGTGATTTTTGAACCTTACTATCATTAGGCCACCCTGTGAAGATTTCTAGGAACCAGTTGGGATTTAATTTGTAGGGATTTGTCTCAAGCCAGAAAGTAGACTTGACCACTTAAACGGGGTTGATGTGTAGGCATAGGCGTTTGAGAAGTGTTGGGCTTTCATGAAAGCTGGACTGGTGAGATTAATGAGCTTGGGAATTCCACTCTGACAAGCACTTGCCTGCTCAGACCTTTGCCTCCTTTGACACAGCACGTAGGACTGCATGCTGAAGATGGGGTCTGTCCCCCCAGCATAAGGAAGCAGTGGTCAGGATTCTCTAAGGGGGCCTGTTGGTGGTTTGGATGAACAGTTCTTTATTGCGTGCCTTGCAGGATATTTAGCCCTCTAAATGGGGACTCCCTGGTCATTGTGGCAACCAGAAACACCTGCACACATTTTCAAGTGCCCCTTGCCGGTGATTCGCCCGGGGTTGAGAGGCATCAGGCCACAGCACAGCATTGAGAATAGGCCAGGTGTGTGTGAGGTCAGAGGTGAAGTGTTCCAGGGAAAGACAAGGCACTGCCGGTCCTCTGCTTGTCTCACGTGGGATTATGTATACAGAGTGGTTCCTTTGTTTTGACTTTTTAGGTGAAAATATTTAAGCACGTGTGTATTGAGGACCAGTGTTATTCTAAGTGCTGAAGACCAGCCTTCAATAAAGTACAGTGCCTGTCTTCAAGGAGCTTAAAATCCAGTGGGGAGAGAGAATCAACTAGCTCCCCAGCGAAGAATTTCAGGTGGTGGTACCGGTATGGAGAGTAGTAGGGCTGTGTTGGTCATCCAGAGACACTTTTCTAAAGGGCTCTGAGACAGGAAATGGGGGATGGACCATCTTAGACTGCAGACATGCTAGAGAACGATCTAGAATATAATCCGTATTGGGCAATTTCCAGATTGGCAAGAAGCTCTGTATTCACTGATAAGGTCAGACTGACCTCAGGCAGCACTGTGAGTTCGTTTGGGGAAACGCTTGCTCCTCTCTTAGTAGCCCTGAGATTGCTTTTGGAGGTCTGGCTTTGGTGTGCTGGGATGCCAGGCTTGAGGAAGCCAAACCTTGAGGAATCTGGAGAGTGTTGCTGTTTGAAGTTCCTTGGTGAGGACATGTACACATATATGTGCTTCTTGTACCCTTTGAATATCCTGGGGAGAATATATAAGGAACTAGCATCAGTGGTGGGTCGCCTAAGGAAGAAGGGACTGAGTGTTGGGATGAGAGGAAAGCTTCCTTTAAAATTTTTTAATATGTAAAGTTTTTTAAAAAGCAGAATATATTTTCATGGCTCAAAATTTAAAAAGGTACAAAAGGTATGTGATGAAAGAGACTTGGTACTGTATAGTGCTTCAAGTTTTCCTTCTGGCAAATATTAGTTGTTCAAGAGATAAACTAATTTAAGGGAAGTACCTTGGTGGTCTCTCAGGAAGAAAGTTTTGGGTTAAGTCAGAGTGAGGCCTCCTAAATACTAAGCTGTTTGCATTGGATTGTTTCATCAAGTCAAAAAACCTACATTATTATTGATGGGGCAGCATCAAAGTTGGTGCTAATAAAATGTGGTCTAAACAAAACTTGATTATTTTGATTAATTAGAAAGGTTCAGGCCCCTTTATTATCAGTTACTAACTGAGTCATCGTGGGTGAGTTATTTAACATCCCTTGCCTCAGTTTCCTCATCAGCAATAATTTTATAAATTTATTGTGAGAATTAAGTGAAGGATGAGCTAAATAAATGTTAGCACTTAGTATTTACCAAATGGAGTGAAGGCAGCTTCAGGAAGATAATCAACTTTACTATTTAGTCCATTCAGTTGAGTTAGAACCATTGCTCTCTTCTTCATTGCTCATCATTCATTCTACAAATGTCTATGGAATGCCTGGTGTGCACCTGATACTGTCCCAGGCCCTAGGGATACAGTGCAGAGCGGACACAGTTCTGGAGTCTATAATGTGGTGGGGGACAGTAGGCTGTTAGTCTATAATAGAGATTTGAGCCGTCATGGGTGTCAGAGAGGGAACGTTTCCCTGGGGAAGTGACAAGTTAAATTGTCAGAGGGAAAGGAAGGAATAGCATGTGCAAAGGCCCATTTGACAGAGGAGGCAAAGGCCAGTGTGTCTGTTGTGGGCAGAGCTGGGGGATGCGGTGCCATGCAGACTGAGATGTAGTCAGAGTAGATGCAAGGCCTTGCAGGCCATGCTGAAAAGTTTTTTCTGTATTAGACTTGTTTACTGGGGTGGGCGGGTGGATTCGGGGTGAGATGATTGGATTATCGCTTGGAAAGATAGTCTGTTTGCAGTGTGGAGAATGAATGGGAAGAGAGCCAGCATGGGTGTGGGTGAGCTGATTAGAAGGCCTTTGCAGCGGCTCAGGCAGATTTTGGAAGCATGGACCATGGTGCTGGCACTGGATACGGAGAGAAGTGAATGGACTGAGTCCGTGGATATTTAGGAAGGAATATTGGCAGGGCTTGATAATGAGTTAGCTCTGGCGAGTCAGGGAGAAGGAGCTGTCAAGGATGGCCTTGTGTTCACATATTTTGGTGGAAGGTTGTCCCGTTCACTCAGATAGGGAACACTGGAAAAGGACATGTGTAGCAGAGGGAGGAGATTATGAATCTGCTATGGATTTAAGTCCAAGAGGAGGTAGGGAGGCAGTCGGATGTAGAACTCAGAGGCATCTGGGCTCGAGATCTAAATGCAGGAGCTTATTGATGCCTGAGCCTTGGGCGGGAGGAAGGAAGGGAGGGGAAGCATGCTCACCTGCCCTGAGACTGGCTACCTGGCTTCATGCTGGCTGGCCTTGTCCTGGGACAAGAGGAGCACTTGAGACAGGACTTTGTATGAGGATGGAGTCCGTCTTCCAGCAGAGCCCTTCCCAGTGTGCATGTGCCAGCTGTGTGGTGGCATCTGGGCGTAAGGACATCGTGGGGGACCCTCTGTGGACTGCACTCTTCCCTTCCCTACCTCCTATTCCTTTTCCTAGGAGCCTGCCACTTGCCATCTTGAACTGGCTGGGGGAGTGTGGAGGCTGGAGGCTGGCTCCTAAGACCCACACATTAGCTGCAGTTGTCTGGATTTTATCTGTAGATAATTGGAAATTGGCTTGAACATCAGTACAGTAAACCAATCATAACTCTCGCAAACTGCTTGTTTTATGCTTTTGGAGGTTTGTCAATTTCCTCAGAGCCTGTCTGTCTCTGTCTCTGTCTCTCTCTCTTTCTCTAAATTTTGGTAAGATCAGTCAAGGGTTGAAGGCAGATGTGAGGGCGAGGGAGAGGGAGAGATCCAGAGGAGAAGGAAACAGAACTGATTAGAGCCAGGCGAGTGGGCCATGATGCTGCCTGCCTGCCAGTTGGTCCGTTTATCTGTCAGCCTGTCACTAGCTTATTGTGAAAAAAGAGTTTAAGCCTGGCTTTCTTTTCTGCTGTGGATCGATGTCCTCAGAGACTAGTGTAGGAACCAGGGTAGATCTCGCTTTCCTGGTTCCAGATAGATGCCCAGAGAAAATCCCGGGTGTGGGCAACTGGGGCCCCCTTGTGGCTGGATCCGATTCTCCACTTTTGCTCTGCCTTTCCTGGTCAACTCCTTAGTTGGGAGGAGGCAAAAAGGTTTTGCTTTCACTTAACACCTTCCTGCTGGACTTTGCTATTTCCATGGATTTGGTGATGGTCCTCAGCCCCTGCTGCCCAGCTGCTGGTCTTGGGTCCTCCTAAGCCAAGCCCAGCCTTCTCGAGGTGCTGGCACTGAACCCAGACAGCCTCTTCGTGTTCGCTGGAACTTCAGACTCTTCGGGCCACTGCTTACAGATAGCCCACCCAGCACACTCTACCCTGTGAAAAAACGGAGGGAAATATGAGAAAGGGGTTTGTGTGTGTTGCTTGCGAGTAGAATGTCTTTGGTTTTGATGTCCATTGGGTGGCACTGTGATCTTATTTTTGTTTCTGTTTTTCTTTGCAGCCAAGCTCTAGTCCAGGAAGTGAAAATGTGATGCCTCGAGAGCCACTGGTAAGAATCCAGGTTACATGTGTATCATTTTCTAATAGTTAAAATACAATGTGAGTTTCAAGAAACCCTATGGTCTTACAGTTTTACATCAGTAGTGTCCCTTTAAAAGTAGATGTTGTGTGGAGACTAACCCCATCAGTGACCTCTGACTTCCTGGCATCAGGAATTAGTAAGATCTCTTTAGTAAAGCCTCATCTTCTTTTTATTTAATTTAATCTTTATTTATTGATTTGAGAGAGAGATTTGTTGTTCCGCTTATTTATGCGTTCTTGCACTTATTTATGCATTCATTGGCTGATTTTTGTATGTGTCCTGACTAGGGATCAAACCCACAACCTTGGCATTTCGGGATGATGCTCTAATCAACTGAGCTACCTGGTCAGGGCAAAGCCTGATCTTTTCTGGAACTGAAGCATCCACCACAGTTGGTGATGCACCACTTGGCTTATTGCTGATCAATAGTAGTTAGTGGGGGCGCCTGAAACCTTTGGGGGCTGAGTTGGAGTGAGGCTGCTGGGCTTAACCAAGTTGCTGATTGTATAGAATAGCCGTTCTTTTTCTTTTTTTAATATCACTCGAGGATATTTTTCCATTTATTTTTAGAGAGAGTAGGAGAGGGAGAAACAGAGAGAAATGTCAATGTGAGAGAAACACATCGATTGGTTGTCTCCTGCATGCGGCCCAACCAGGGCTCAGGCTGGGGAGGAGCCTGCAGCTGAGGTACGTGTTCTTGACCAGAATTGAACCCAGGACCCTTTGGTCCGCAGTCCGACACTCTATCCACTGAGCCAAACTGGCTAGGGCTGGAATAGCTGTTCTTTGCCCCTAAGGGTGAGGGCACCTCAGGTGGCCTTTGAAGAACAGGTAAGGGAGGGAACTCCGTTTTGCCTGGTTAGTAGTTAGGTTTATGATATTTGTTTCCTGCTTATATTATTGTCAGGGAAGAGGCCTACTAGGTACCGAAGGTAATTTTCTTGACAAAGTGCTTTTGCTCGGGGGTCTGAGCCAGAGTGCCTGCCCGCCTGCCCCATTTTTATCCTACTTTGCATTTCAGGACGGTTGCCGGTCCTGTTGGTGGGGTAGAGAGACCTGTTCTGTACAAACCAGACATGTTTTATGGAGGGGCCAGCTTTAGGTTGAACTTTTCAGAGCTTTTTCTCTCTTTGATGTTGACAACAAGTTTAGGGATGAACTGCCCAGCTTTTGTTTCTGCGGGGCCTGCTGTTTCGCCTGTTTTTCTTCCTTCTCCTTCTGGCAGTAGCGCGCGGAGGTAAGGAGAGGGCCTTAGCGTTGTGAGCAAGTCTGAATCCTAGCCGGTTCTAAGGCTTTCCAGGACAGAGGGGAGAAAGACCAGGGCGACACAAGCCCTGCCTGGACTGTTTCAGGACAGTGCTACTGCCATCATGTCACCTGTTGTTACCAAAAACGGCTCATTTCCACCTGTCCCCGCAGTGGCTTCATTTCACTCTTTTGGGATCACCTGAATTCTTCCGTGAGGTCACGGTGGTGTGAAAGCCAGTCTCTTAGGTAGACCTTGAGTATTTCCCACGGGGCCTGCCACACTGCCCCTCAGGCTGAAGCTATAGTTGGTTTTGGAGTGATGTCCAAATTGGACATGACAGTCCTTTTCAATCCTTTATTCCTCAGTCTCTTTAAATTTTGACCTCCTAATTTAACTATTGATCACCAGGAGAGCGGCCGGTCCATTCTGGGGGGTCATGGTTGGACAAACTCTGGGAGGTCCTTTCTAGCAGGGAGCCCCAAGCAGTTGGCAGCCTCACTGATTTCAGGGTATGTGGAGTCCTGCAGCCCCTTTGCTCTGCTAATGTTTCTGTTCATGCTCTTTTCCTGCTGCACTGTGCATCTGCTTGTTGGTTGGTTGTATTTTTATTTCTTTCTTTTCTGGGAGGCCCTGAGCAGTCTTCAAACCCTAGTAGCCTGTGATTGTCCAGAGTTCAGACTCATTCTCTCCAGGCCAACTCTACAATTACCTTATATTTAATTAATATTTTTTCCCCTCTTTACGTACTTGCTGCATAATTGCTCAGAGGAAAGAAAACACATAGCAGCAATTTATATATATATAAAAAAAACAATAATTAAAAAAAAAACCCGAAATAAACTCCCATCTCATTTGGGCTGATCCTATGAGTTGGGTAATTAGAGCCCTATTAAAAGGTAGACCCCTCTTTTTTTATTAAATTTTTTATATTAAACTCCCACAGTCTCTCAGTCATGGCCTTATTGCTTTTGGCCAACCATTTGCAGCAGCCTGATTAAATGAGGGCACCAGCCGAGTTGTATGGTCTTGTATGAACTACTTCTGCCTCTTGGGAGTGGCGGTGGGAGGGTGCCAGGCAGAGGAGCCCGCCAGGGGCTAGCGAGAGCTCGTGTGGCAGGTTGTGGGTACAGGACAAGCTGCTCTGAAGCGGGTGCTGAGTCACAGGTGCTGGAGAAGGGACGGACGGTAGCCCAACCACAGAAAGCCCGATAGCACAGGGATTCTGGTCGGGGGTGTTACCCATTCCCTGGATGCTCGGGAGGAATAGACAGTTGAAGAATAAAACTAAGCCTCTTCTTAAGTAATTTATATATTTTATCTGGGGGAGGAAAGGCATTTGTATACATGAAACAATTAGCAAAAAACACAGGGCTGTATAAAATTTACCGAACAGTATAAAATCGTGTATAATTGGTGCAGAATTGCCTGGCGTGGAGTCTGAGGGAGCCCTCATTATTCAGAGGAGGAGTTGCAGAGGAAGCGGGGTGGAGGGTGAGGGGTACTCAGGGTGGGTTTTGTGGAGCTGGAAGCCAGGTCTGGAGGAATGGGATAGTTCAGTGCTGAGGGAACACCCTGCTATGCTATTTTTGTTTTTGTTTTTAGCTGAGTGCAAAATTCCTTAATGGGAGCTGCCTGTTCTCTACAGTAAAAAGGGCTAAGCACAGGATGCTAAAGGCAAATACTGGTGTTCTTTGTCTCCAGAACTGGATGATCACTTTGGAATAACTTCCCCCTTATGAAAAACTAGAGGCCCGGTGCACGGATTCGTGCACTGGTGGGGTCCCTCAGCCTGGCTTGTGCCATCTCGCAATCCGGGACCCCTCGGGGGCATGTCGCGGGCCGAAACCGGCAGTCCGACATCCCCCAAGGGATGTAGTAGTGCTCGAAGCAGCAGGTTGCTGGGGCGCTCCCGCTCATCCTGGCCCCGCTGTGCCTGAGGCTGGTGCCACTGCGGCCACAGCGGTGCTCACCAGCCGTGAGCACAGCATCTGGCGCCCGTTGGTTAGCTGAGCGGCGCTTCCACTGTGGGAGTGCACGGACCACGCTCCTGCATTAAGCGTCTGCCCCCAAGTGGTCAGTGCGCATCATAGCAACTGGTCGATCGGTCGTTCGGTCGACTGGTCGCTTAGGCTTTAAATATATAGACGGGGGGTTCCGACAGAAGAGGCTCTATTTACAGCAGGTGGATGTATTTGGGCTTCTGCATGATTGTTTGCTTTATTGCTAGGGAAGGAGGGCCTGATTTTATTTCTGTCCTCTCTGGACAATACAAACAGGTTTGTGATTTTGTGCTGAGAAGTATGGTCTTGTAGTTTCTAAATGATATGTTTGTGTTTATGTCCGTCCCCTTGTCTTGATTCTACGCAAGCAGTGACACTTCATGCTACCTTCTCTTGCCCCTTAAATTCTCCTCCCCCCCAAAAACGAACCCAGCAACCCTGACTGTATTAGTGGGATATAATGTCACAAAGTTCTCAGTGCTAGAGATTGGTGAACAGACCAGTTTGACAAATTCTGAGAACTCCCAGTTGGAATTCTAATTGTTAATGACAAAACTCTTTGTATTAGTTAAAACAGCTGATTACTTTTTCTTCTTCATTGTTTCTTTATTGAGCTTTTCCTCCAAGGGCAAAGAATTTTGACAGCCCCTCCAGCTTCTCCCAGACCTGTTCAAAGCCTTCTGTAAATTTCCTGTAGACCTGAGTTTTCTCGTCACCTTGTGGACACATGCTCAGGCTCACTCAAAGGCTCTAGGTCAGTGGTTCTCAACCTTCCTAATGCTGCGACCCTTTAATACAGTTCCTCATGTTGTGGTGACCCCCAACCATAAAATTATTTTCCTTGCTACTTCATAACTGTAATTTTGCTACTGTTATGAATCGTAATGTAAATATCTGATATGCAGGATGTATTTTCACTGTTACAAATTGAACATAAAGCATAGTGATTAATCACAAAAACAATATGTAATTATATATGTGTTTTCCAATGGTCTTAGGCGATCCCCGTGAAAGGGTCGTTTGACCGCCAAAGGGGTCTCGACCCACAGGTTGAGAACCATTGCTCTAGGTGGATTCACTCTGGCAGGATGAAGTCCTGCCTTGCTGATGGGTCTTTAAGGATGGGTAAAGCCTGGCCAGTGTGCCTCAGTGGTTGAGCATCGACCTATGAACCCAGAGGTCACGGTTCGATTCCCGGTCGGGGCACATGCCCGGGTTGTGGGCTCCATCCCCAGTGGGGGACGTGTAGGAGGCAGCCTATCCATGATTCCTTCTCATCATGAATGTTTCTATCTCCCTTCCTCTCTGAAATAAAAAAAAAAAAAAGAAAGAAAGAAAAGAATGGGTGGACATTGTCGGCGTGGAGTAACTCAGTTCCTATCTTGCTTGGATACAGAAACTGGGGTTAAGTAACCTTCCGAGAGTCCTTTTAGTCATATGATTTAGGTTATTTGAAGTAAGCAGTAAATAAGTTTCGTTTACGTGTCTACTTGTTTCAACGCAACAAATTTCTCAATATTCAGCAACACTATTGCTCATCTACTTTATATGCTTATGGGTTTTGGCTAAACTAGAATTTCAGCTTTTTGCTCATTGACATCAAGTTCTTTCTAATGGATGAGTCTTCTGCCGTGTTCTCTTCCTCTAACAGTAAAGTATAGGGTTTGTTGTTGTTTTGTTTCTGTCCTTTCCCTGTATCCACCCACCTTTCCCTGTAT